AATTTTAAAAATATTCTCTTCAGTGCTAAAATATCTCTTTTCTTCCCTGCGTGGCCAGCACTTTTCATGGCAGCAGGGCCCTGATCATGAAGTCAGTTCCACATGCAGAGTGTGATGGAGACGACAGGTCTGCAGAGACTAGAGAGGGCCAGGTGATTGGTGCTAGCTGTGCTAGGTGGCTATTCCACCCCTGAGAAGGGCTGCTCAGAAACAATGCCCCTTTGGTACCTGGGGAGATATTCTTCATCCCGAGGTCCACATTTGCCAGACTGCAAAGGAGAGCCCTTTAGCCACCTAGATGCAGCCCAGCCTTCACTTCCTAAAACACCTTCTCAGCTGCAGCACTGCCTATTCTTCCCTAGAGGGGAAAGTTTTGGCTCCCTCCAGCACTAATGGCTTAACCCCACAACTATTGCACAGCATCCCAGGCAGACTTCCACCAGGTCCTGACTTGCCTCCAGAGAGAATCCTTCACTGCCTGGAAGAGAAAGGACAGGGGTGGACTTAAGAGCTGCCTGTTAAGTGCGAAGAACTCCTCTTTCTTACAGGAACCTTCTTAGCTGCAGTCCCCAAAGCCCACAAAGAGGATAAATAAAAAGTATACAAGAGAGGTTGCAACCACCTCATTCCTTAAGCGTGCAAGTCAAGAGGGCGTGGCTGGGAGGAGATTGCACAAAGGGGACAAATCTTAACACAGGTAGGATGGGCATAATTTCATCTGGAGAGGTTATGGAAAGAGCAGGTTGATTCTTGGAGGACATTGCACAGGAGAGAAACACGGAGGTGGAGAAGAATACCAACTTTCAAACAGTGGTATTTTAAGAGGGAAGGGCAGGTGGAGTTTTGAAAAAACTGTGTCACAGGATGAAGCGGACTGGCTAGCTCTCAGAAGCTGCATGACATATGGAATTCTGATCTGCACAAAATCTCTTAAGTGGAGGTGCACCAGAATCTTCCTCCCCTCCGTTCACCTGAAAGAAAGAAGAAAAGAATATGGTTGGCTGGGTTGACAATACAGGTAGTTGTCAGGTTACGATCATTCATTCAGTGACTGTTCAAAGTTATGTAGTGTTGAACAAATGGTACTTATGAATGGTCCTCAAAGTTTCAGCCATTGCAGCACTCCTGTGGTCATGTGATCAAAATTTGGGCACTCATCAGCCTGCCCACATTTACAATCACAGGGTGCATTTCAGTTCCCTCCACTCGCCTATCTCCCCTTTCTCTCTGCCCTTTTGGCTGCCCTGCACTCCCTGCACCTGTTGCCCCCCACCGTCCCCAACTGACCTTTGCCACCTCATCAGCAATGGAAGGAAGAAGACAGCAAATGTCAACTAGGGGAGCTGGGGGGCAGCAGAGGGCATGGTGGCCAAAAGGGCAGAGATGGGAGGGGAGATAGGCAGGTTGGGTTAGTTGAAGTGGAGGCAAATGCTGCAGGGCAGGAGAAATGTGAGGTCCTGGCCTAAGAACCACAACTGGGACTACCGGAACTGCTATCGCTAAGTGGTGTGGTCACATGATGCTTCGTCTAATGACGGCTTTGCTTAACAATGGAAATTCCAGTCCCAATTATTTTATTTATTTATTTATTTATTGGACTTGTCCCTGCCCATCTCCCCACAATGGGGGAATTAGGGTCATAACCTGAAGACTACCTGTATAAAATGGGAACATGTTTTACAGTGCCTGCATGAAAGATGTGGAAGCACTTCCAAACTTGTGACCACACCCATTTCCTAACTGAGATTGCTCCATAAGTACAGAATTGGATTTCTTGAACTGAATGTGGACATTATGAACCTTATTTGTGAGCTCTGAATAGCTCCTTCTAACTAACTAAACTTTCTATGTTGTATTCTTGGCAGTGTTACAGAAGTGGTTGGCCACTGCTTTCTTCTGGGATTTTTTTGCAATTTTCTAGTCTAGCCTATATTCTGGGATTTCCTGATAGTCAACCATCCTGCTTAATTTTTCTGAGATCAGTCAAGATTGGCTTGATGCTGCCACCTGCTGTGTCAAGCAGTTACTAAAACCACTATAATGTAAGTAAGTCTCATAATTTTTTTTTCAGGGTAGTAAAAAGATACGAGTCCTCTGAAGGCATGATAAATTGCTTTTTGTGTATTTGAGATTACCATATTTGGGATGTGAGGCTGTCTTGTACCATGATTGTCTGGCTGCAGTCCTGCAGATAAACCAAGGACTCTTCCCTCACAGATCAGATTGAGAAATATGGAATCAATGTTGGTCTTGCTTCACCTCCAGCATTTGCACTTTGTTAAGTGATAGGGTCCCTGTCTATGCAGGGTTCCTGTCCCTGGAAGATTCCACATCCAAATGACCATTACTTATTTTACAATCTGATTGTTGATAAGAGAAGATAGTATGTGGTTTCATAGTTACCCAGTCTGTCCCAGTGTGTCTACACACTGAAGAACAAGAATAACTGCATGAAGGACACAAGGATGCGGTGCCTCGTAGCTGTCAAAAAAGGAATGGTTAACATTGCTTTAGGTTGGGGATCAGCACAGTTCTGTAGAAGTCTGTGGTTGATGGTTCTGAAGCAGCCCTCTGCTTTTTGTCCAGGACACTGAGTGGGGTCCACTGAACCCTTTGCTCTGCTTTTGGTTTCAATTCTGCAGCTTTCAGAAGTACTTGTAACTTACAGACCCAGACCTAAGAACCCCCTTTCATTTATTTGCTCTGCATGTGACTTGGCCCACCACACAATTCCCATCTTTTTGCTTTTTGCTGGAAAATGGGGGGAGGGCTGCACTACCATTTTCTAGGATATGGCTAATGTGTTGTGTAATTGAATATGCAGCCTCAAACTTCTCTTCTCATCTCTGTGAATTCTGCTAGGAACGGGGCTACGTTCCCACTTGTAAAAAGCATAAATCAGATGGCTAGTTCTGCTGTGTTTTTCCTGCAGTTTCTGCATGTATAATCATACCTGTGCCAACCTTTTGGAGTTGTGGAGTTGTGCCTGTATCCCTTTTGAGAATGGAGGCAAATATCTGTTCTTCTTGATGTTTGAATAGAGCCACCAGGGATCTGTGTGTGACTATTACTGTTTTTGTATCACAGGAACTATCAGTCTCTTTGCAAAACTATATTCCT